ACCTGAAACTAGCTACTCCGTGAATATGTTTGTGTATAGATCTTTTGCACATATTTAATTTGTTTTATAAATAAATATATCATGATAACCTTACAGCTGATTGCTCCCTCTGATTCTGTAAATATTTTCACTACTGCAGAGCTTTCTTGAAAAGTATCTGTGTTTGAGCCAGAAGACTCTGATCATCTGCTCCCAATATGGCCTCTATTGGAATCATTAATAATATTTTGTCAACCTTTATTTATTCATTTATTTTCATTTATATATTTATTATTTTTATTTATTCATTTGTTTTTCAAATGTATGGAACTACTTATCTCTTCAAGACAAGTGACTTTCATTTAGTATTATATATTATTTAGCCTAGTTCAGAGAAAGGAAGTACTGTAGTTGTAGGTAATCTGGGTGAATTCACATAACCTGATCTACAGATATGTTTAAAAATAATTGTTTATTCACATAAGATACGTCCAAATAAATAAAAAAGTATTATTGTTTACAATAATGGTCTGGATCACATAATATGCTAAGACATCTGAGGAATACAAATCTCTCCCAAAATTTTCAAGTTTGCAGTTAGCCTGAGTAAACAACTGCCTGAAAGTAAAAAGCATCTGCACTCTGTGTAGCAGTCAGTTCTGAACTATAGTAAAAACCTGACTTGGGAAAAGGCAAATGCCTAGAATTCATTCACAGAATTCCACAGCACTGGAAAACTCACTTTGAAAATAACTGGTATAAAACAAAGAACTAAATGCTCAGACACATTCTGGAGCTCTGGTTACTCTGGACAGATAGAGTGATGATATTTGTCATTGCCCTCTCTGTTAGTCTTCTAGCTGGTTGGGAGACTCTTTGGTGCAGCTTAGGCAGAAACATGCTGAAGAAAATAGGACATAGTAACTCAATCTGCAAAATTCAAAGTCTTCCTTCCTTCATTAAAAAGTTTCCATTGCAATTTGGTTCCTCCAAGAAGACAAAAACAGTTCTATTTATAGAGGAGCAAGTTTCGATCTGACCCCATGAATGTCTTTGATAAATATTCAACTGGCATGCTTATATAATAAAACTTTTTAAAAATTTGAAATATATTCATAGATGACAAATAAATGCGTTAAAGGTTGACACATAGTCTCTACTAAAATAGTTGCAGTGAAAAGTATCCTACCAGAAATATTAGGATGATAGCTTTTACTGGCAAACTATATAGGGCAAAGAAAAATATAGCGGCTTTATAGATTCCAACATTTTCGCAAAAGTATATGTCCCATGTAAAGTTCCACAGCTGATGATAGAAAAAGCACAAGTTAAGTTTGACCAGATGGTCAAATTGGATGTTCTCAAATGAAATCAGATGGTCAACTGGTCTCTATTATAAAACCAAGAAAGCCAAATGTTTTTAAAGTTCAAAAGCACAAGGACAGAAATGGTGCATAAAAGGAAACTACTTGCAGCTCAAGAATGTGTTTGAGGGGTTCATGTATAGATTCCAAATATGAAAAACTCCCTCCCCCCCATTTTGGATGCAGACCAAGAGTTTTGAGAGACTATTCTTTATAGTATATATATAGAATTCTGGGCTTCCTCGCAACAGCTGTTTGAGAAAGTAAAGTGTGATCCCCAGAGATAAAGTAATAGCAAAATGCAATATATGCGTGAAGGATATATTCAGATAAATTGTATATGAATATGGGTTTAGCAGATCAGCAGAATTAGGTGTCTATGTTTGAAACCTAGTTTTCATCAAACATGCTATAAACCAATCTATGTTCGTCTCATTATTCTGAAACTGATGTATTGAGGGACATAAAACGGAAATAACATTTCTTCCAGAACTGGCATGGTAAAAAATCTAGAATATTTACAAGAAGCATATCTAGTCAAGAGACAGACATAGGATCAGTTTTATAGTTTAGAAGTTATGTTACATTACCATGTAGTAGGCAATACAGACTACTTATTGGCTAGGCTTTGTCTGAAGAACTATAGCTACCTATTTTTGCCTGGCTGAGTGGCCATTTTGTATCTTCGATATCATAAATCCAGAGCTAAAATCTAATATACAACTGACTATAGCTCAAGGTTGCCTTGACATAGCTAAAGAAAGCAAAGAGTAATTCAAAGCTAGCCAAATATTTAAATCCAAGTATAACAAAGCAAACTGGAGGATTATAGCAAGACTTTTCCTGTCTCATTCAGTAATTCTACTGAGAATTCAGCGTATTTAAACCTGGTACAATGCAGCTGGCTCTTATTTCCATGATGATGTGTGCCAAAATGCAAGATGAATCTTGATACCATAGCAGATCCAACCTGGATATTGTGTATTGGGCATATGCTAAGCCATTTTACCACAACCTGGTGCTTTCCAGATGTGGTGGGACTAGAACATTCAGAATTCCCAGTCCATATGTCCTTTATCCATCCTGACTATGATTTCTGGGAATTATAGTCCCACCACATATGCCAAAATAGGGGACTTCTGGGGAGGAAATGGCAAACTGAAGATTGTAGCATGAAGAGTCAGTGATAGACTGGGTCTTTGTAATTTGTTTCTGGACTAGGAGAGGATTGAGCTCATTCACAAGTACTCCATACTGCTGCTCTTCATGAGGAACTGCAAGGCAGTGATCTCCAGCAGGCTTATTGCTCTGGGAGATGAAAAAATAGTTATCTTGTTCAACCCACAGTCAGCACTGTTAAGGACCCTGGGTTATTTTCAAACATGGGATAATTTTTACAAATGGTTAGAGAAATGGAGTAGAGAGTAGGAATGGAAGTTGTATTACTATTAATGTCAAATATGTGGACCCAGACAACATGTTGTTTATGAAGCACTAAAGATTTGCAACTATAAAAACTTAATAAAATATCTATTTTTTTTAAAAAAGGACCCTGGGTTTGCATACTTCTTTTTTGTTATCACATTTGGAAATTGTTTGTTAACTGCTTTTCAGCTATTAGCAACCTTTGGGTTGATATGTCTTAGAGAACTGTGTGATTTTTCCCTCAGTCCTTAATGATGGAGTTTTAACTACAAATTTAAGAAATTATTTTTTTCTGGAATTAACAGAATAACAGAGTTGGAAGCTACATTGGAGATCTTCTATCTAGTCCAACCCCCTGTTCAAGTAGGAGACCACACACCATTTCAGACAAATGGTTATCCAATCTCTTCTTAAAAACCTCCAGTGTCAGAGCACCCACAGCTTCTAAAGGCAAGTCATCCACTGATTAATTGTTCGAGCTGTCAGGAATTTTTTTCTTTATTTCTTGGTTGGTTCTCTTCTTGATTAGTTTCCATCCATTGCTTCTTGTTCTGCCTTCAAGTGCTTTGGAGAATAGGTTGACTTCCTCTTCTTTGTGGAAACCCCTGAGATTTGGAACACTGCTGTCATGTTGCCATGAGTCCTTCTTTTCATTAAACTAACAGCAAAATGATGATTGCAATTTTGATTTTATAAAGTTATAAACTTACTAAAAGAGAATGAAGCAAAATATTTTAACATTTGAAATACTGAAGGATATTTTTGTACAATAGACCCAGAACCTAATGTTAGGAATGTCTGCTTCTATTGATGGATTGTGTCTAAAAGATGTTATGGAAGAGGAACAAGTTTTATTAGGCAAGACTGAGACTGATCTGGATTTAGAATTAGATTTAAAGTGGATTTAAAAATAACAAGCTAAAAGAAAAAGATGCTACGGTGGACATAAAAAAGAAACAGTTGTTTTTTGTTTTGTTTTTTTTTAACAAAATTTTATTAAGTTTATATAGATGAGGAAAAATAGGAACAATACATGTATGGTAAAGGGAGGGGTGGAAGGAAAGGGGGAGGGGAAGGAGATAAGGAATTAAGGTAAAATAAGGATAGATGCAATCACATACAGTATTTCAACAAACAAGCTACCATCCGGATCATAATAATGAGTGAATATCATATTCAACTATTTTTAGCAAAGCTTAGACTGTAACATATCAAAAAAAAAAAATAGTAAACAAATACGTTGATCTGTTAAGTAAACACTACTGATAAAATCTCAAAAAAAAAATCCTAACAAAAGTAACAAATGAGAGTCAGTAAATCAGGAAAAGTAATCATATCATCAAAATGTTAATTAGAACTTGATTAGAAATCAATCATCTATTCTAAAATATTGAATCTTTCAAGTTCTAACGTGTCCCTAACCATTGATAAAATTTTTCCCAAGTTCTAAAACAAATTGAATCATCTTTTTCTTTCATTTCTAATGTTAGTCTATCCATTTCTGCACACTCTTAAAATTTTGGTAATAATAGTCTGGTCAGATGGTAAATTCTCATTTTTCCAAAATTGGGCAAATACTATCTTGGCAGCAGTTAAAACATGCAATATCAAGTAATCATTCTCTTTACCATAATTAGGTCTTAATATTCCTAACAAAAACAATTCCGGTTTAAATTCGATCTGTAGTTTCATCATCTTTTCCAACCATCTATGGATCTTAGCCCAATATTTCTTAGCGATAGGGCATGTCCACCAGGCATGGTAATAAGTGCCTGGCTGTTGTTTGCATTTCCAACAAATATCCGAAACATTTTTAAACATTTTCGCTAAACGAAATGGTGTTATATGCCATCTATAAAGCATCTTATATAAGTTTTCTTTATATACTACTGCTTTTGTAAGCTTAATATTTTTATCCCAAAGTTTTTGCCAGTCTTCCAAATCTATAGAATATCCAAAGTTCTTTGCCCATACTATCATTGTTTCTTTCACTTGTTCTTCTTCCATCTTCCAGTTTAAAAGAAATTTATAGCGTTTTCTAATTAAGTTGTCATCTGTTTTTAACAAAATTTTATCCAATGGGGTCTGCTCTTTTTAAAAACCTGTCAATTTTATATCTTTTTCGTATCTTGTTTGAATTTGCAAGTAGGACCACCATGTCAAGTCAATACCTTGTACTTGTAAAGTTTGCCTGTCCTTAAGATTTCTCTCTTTGTCTAAGATGTCTTTATAACTAAACAGTTTGTCATAATTAATCAAATTTATTTCAAGTCGTCATGGTGGGGTATTGGGAAAAGTTTTCAATTAGCAATAATCGCGCCTTGGATAAACCTCATTGGTTACGATACTGCCACTGTGGTTGTTTTCATAATTAAAAGCAATTGTATAAACAACAGGATAATTTGGATAATGTGGATAATTTTTCTATATTGGTTTTATAAAAGAGTCTTGTTAAAGATTAGAAGATTTTTGTGAGAAAGGACATTATTTGAAAGGACTAAAGTAGGTTTATTTGTTCAAGATGAAAATGTAAGTAAAATTGTTTATACTTGTGATGAAGATGGAATAATTCCATGTATTTCTTTTTTTACTCTATTATTTTTCTTTTCTATTTTTCTTTTTCTTTTCTGCACATATTTTTTCTTTTTGTTATTTTAGTTTTATTTATTTGTTTGTTTATTTGTTTGTTTGTTTATTTATTTATTGCATTTCCATACCACCCCTCTCACCTAAGTGACTCTGGGCAATTTGCAAACAATATGATAAAATGATATAAAGACGTGGCTAAAAAGTACATTTCAAAACAAAAATAAAAAACAAAGTTAAAAATTAAAAAAATCAAAGTTATAAAGTTAACAAAGCTAAAAGGTTAACGAGCTGGAGGGAGCATCATCAAGCCACCAGCCATCCCCAGGATTGCAAAGCACTCTTCGATCCTCATGCTAACTAGCAGAGCCAGGTCTTAACACTTTTCTACAAAGCCAGAAGTTCCTCACTCTTCTCTCCTCTGGGGGTAAGTTGTTCCAAAAGGCAGGTACAACAGTGGCAAAGATCTTCTTCCTAGATCCTGCCAGTCAAAATTCTTTAACCAATGAGACACAAAGTATGTCCTCCCTGTCTCACCAGATGGGAGAGGTTGCTGTAATTGGGACAAGATGGTGATAACCAGCACCTTGAATAGAGCTTAGAAGCAAACTGGCACCCAGTGCAGCTCGAATAGCAAAGGTGTTACGTGCATAACCCTAGATTCCTAGAATGCCCAGAAATACTTGTGCTGCTGCATTTTGTACCAGTTGAAGCTTTTGGATACTCTTTTAGGGTAGCCTCATGTAGAATGCATCACAATAATCCAACTGTGAGATGACCAAGGCATGAATGAGTGAAAGGAGAGCTTCTTGATTCAGGAAGGGCTGTAAATGTTGCATAACCCAAAGTTGAGCAAAGGCCACAACTGCCACCTTCTTCAGTAGGAGTCATGAATCCAGGAGGACCCCCAGATTACACACCGGTCTGTCTAGGGCAGTGCAAGACAAGACCAAAGATAGTAAGGCCCCAGATGCAGAGGAGTTTCCTATCCATAGCCACTCCACTTACCAGGGTTTAGCTGACGCCTCTATCAATATTGATTTGAGACCAGTCCCAGAGGAAGGAAGTGAACCAGCACAAGACTGATGCATCTTTCCTGATTAATATATCTTATAAAAAGGCATAAACTTCCATGAGTTGCAGCTCAGTTCATCAGAGATATTTCAATGACATTCAACATCATTGATCATTATATCTTTCTGGATGGGAAATGAAACATTGCATTGTGGGTTTCTAACTGAGCTTTAAGACCATTAGCAAGAGAATAGAATGTTTAGTAACAGGGCATACACCAGTAGTGTATGATGTTCCACAAATTTCCATTTTCTGGCTCTGTCTATCTATCATCTATCTAATTTATGATCTGCTTAGTGCTACTATAGTGATTCACAGGGAAAACATTCAGAGGAAAAGGCTGCTGAGACAATTGGGAGTTGCATTCTTTTATAGTTGATAGAGCAAGAATAAATAGAAGTGTAATCAGCCTTGGTTTTCAGGAAGTTCTGTTTCATTTTTGGTTTTTTACTAACAGTTTCCAGTGGGAGAAAGGACCATAAGACTAATCATAATCACTATAGAGAAGAGATAGTGATTAGGCAGTTGTGTGGAATTAGATTTTTGGTTATGTATGTAGTGTTTTCAATTTAGTTTTATAAGTAAAAACATTCCTCAGTGGCAAACCTGAGTGAATATCAACATTTAATGTGGATTTATATATATTTTTTCTCTTGATCTGCTCATTAAGGAAAAGGCCTTTGAGTACTTCATATCAGACTCTTTCATCACAATTTTAAATCAAAATTTAAAATGTACAGAGATTTCCTTTTTTGGATTGGAAAAAGAAAACCTGGCAGACTATTTTTGAAGGTTTGTGCCATCGCATCAGAAAGACACTGATGTGTATTCTTAGTCAGCTCCTAGTTCTGAAAAAAAAAAATGCCAAGAGTACCAGTTAGTCAAGAGACAAGGGTGATGAAATACAAAGGACAAATATTGCCCAAATATTCTATTTGAATCTGGAGATATTTAATAGTTAGATGATGTCCAATGAATAAGTTAAACCCAGATTTAGTAGAAATATATTGTGTACTGTACTCAATAAGTTCTCCCCAAGTCTTGTTATACTGTGTCATCATGATGACTGTGCATGTACGATCCTGGGAGGAAGGAGCAAAAGTCATTAGACGTGTAACAGAACAACTAAAGCTGCGAGGTCAGAATTACAATGCGAACATAGAACATACAAAGTATGAACATGGGAAAGCTTAACATAGTGAAAGATGAAATGAATCTATTACATATTGACATCTCCGTTGTTGAGTCCTTGGCGAAAAGCAGACACGAGAAGCAGTTGTAGTTCTCAGGTTTTCTTTTATTCTGTGTTCAGCTTACAGGTGAAGGCTTCAGCAACGCCCAAAAGCTCCCAGCCTCTTATATAGGCAATTCCCGGGTCAATGTGTTACTTTTCCCGCGCCAGCACCCATGCATGCGCACAGGCGCTGGCGACAGCCTGTCTGGTCCCGGGCAGCTTGCACCTGCCCGGGACTGCCTCCAAACGCCCCGAGCCCGTTTGCAAGGCTCGGGACATAACACCCCTTTCCCCCGGGCTAAGACTACTACCAACATACAATTATTTCTTGATGCAGTGTTCTACTCCCCAGTGCTCCTACTGTTTACTGGCTTTTGTTTAGCCAGCAATGTTATGTAATCCTCTAAGTACTTAGGAGATTTCCTTGCTCTCTGTGACCTTCTCAGCTCTGGGTTTCTGACAGGTGTATCCTGACTGAAGGGAGACGTGAACCTGTTCTCCTTATCTTGCCTTGGTGCCTTCCAAGGACTGTACCCCAATGCCTGGCCTGCTTGCTCGCCCACCGGGCTCGTCAGGCCAGGGCTTCTGTCACTTTGTGACCTGGTTGACCTGCCTAGCTGTAGGCCCTCGGGCCCCTTGAAGTGATAGCCACTGCTGGGCATCTCTGTAGAACCTCCTAGGTCCGTCCAAGACCTGTCGGGAGGCTGTCCAATCCCTAAACCCCGTTCTATGTCCGGGCTCATGTGGGTTTCTGTACCTTCCCAAAACTTAGTTACTCCCTGATTTGGGCTAGAGGTGTTGCGGTCGGGACTTGGTTCCTCGACCACCTCCCTGTATGTTTGACCCCCTGTAGGACTTGGGGTAAGGTCAGGCCAACTCTGGGGATTATGTGCCAGCTCTCTTGCGGGGTATGATTTATTGGGATGCTCCCGGGTATCCTCCCTGACTGGAGTACTGTGCTGTGCAGGTGAATAGTGATTGTACCCCCGGGGTGACTCCCTGGCTGGAGTAGGCGTGAATGCCTGGTAGTTGGATAGGCTCTTAGAATTCCTGTTTGGGGCACTCGCGGAATCTTGGAATGGGACATTTGTGGCTCCATCATTGGAGGTGGGCAGCAGCTCGTGCCCCTCCCTTTTCTCTAAAGGGTCCCCCTCCCCCCCTGGAAAAGACAGGAGTCTCATCTGAAAGATCCTGCCTAGGGCGGAGTTGGTCGATGTGCCGACGCAGGACACGACCGTTGTCCAGGGCTACCTCGTAGGATAGAGGACCTGTGACCCTGGAAATAGAAGCGGGGACCCATGTATGACCAGGCCCGTAATTGCGAGTCCAAACCGGGGCATCCACAAGAAGTTGTCTAGGTGCCATAGGATGTGAGGTAGATGAAGGCAGTCTGTCCGGATGCAACCGGTCAAGCTTCGTAGTAAGTTTGCGCCCCCAGCGAAGTTCAGCTGGGCTTCTCCCTGTAGAAGTGGACGGTGTGGTGCGGTAAGAAAGGAGAAAGTCAGCCAACCTGTGATGCCAGTCCCCATAGGTGAGTCTTTTCAAGGCATCCTTTGTGATGCGGACCATGCGTTCAACCATACCATTGGTGGACGGGTGGAAGGGTGCAGACGTGGCATGACGAATCATGTTAGCCTGTAAGAAAGCTTGGAATTCGGAGGAAGTAAATTGAGGGCCGTTGTCAGACACGATGACATCTGGGAGCCCGTGTGCAGCAAAAATCCCCCTCAGTACCTGAATAGTCTTTGCAGTGGTGGTGGATGAGACAGGTACAACCTCAAGCCATTTTGAATGACTGTCAACGAGGACCAAGAAGAACTGGCCCTGAAAGGGCCCAGCGTAGTCAATGTGCACCCTAGACCATGGGGACTGTGTATCCTCCCATCTATGCACAGGAGCTTGGGGCATCTCTGGGCGAGAGCGCTGGCACAGGTGGCATGCATGCACCTTAGCCTCAATGTCCTTATCTAAACCAGGCCACCACAAGTGGCTGCGCGCAAGGGCCTTCATGCGAACAATGCCAGGATGACCCTCGTGGAGGGACTCTAAGATCCTAGTCCTCATTGAGGTGGGAATGACAACTCTGTTTCCCCAAAGCAGACAACCCTGAGAAGTGGACAACTCGTTCCTTTTGGACCAGAAACTCTGAAACTCAGGACTAGGGCAGTGCTCAGGCCATCCAGACAAAACCCAAGAAAGGACACGTGAAAGTGTGTGATCTGTGCCTGTTTCAGCGGCGACATCCCTGGCATTCAGAGGGGACTCGGGCAAGGCTTGGATGGATAGAATGTTGACAGCTGGCACAGGGTCAGCTTCTACTACTGGCAGGGGCAATCTACTGAAGCCATCAGCATGGCCCATTTCTTTCCCAGGCTTGTGGAGTAAGGAAAAATCATATGCAGACAGAAAAATAGACCACCTAAGCATTCTAGGGGAAATGATTTGGGGAGTTTGTTTACGTGTGGTAAACA